GTTTCTCATTCATCAAAATGTTGTTTTACCACCATCACCTGTAAATATCAAAATTATCTTCCAAGTCATCTTTGTGTGTACAATTCTGCACTCTTAATGTAGTTAAGTCTTTCTTAAATTCCAAAATTGTACTCAGCACAGCAAAAGTGGACTTGCAGATGTGTTGTACAATATCAAAATGCCCTTTTACTCTTGCTTTCTCTTGAAGTCTGGAATTCTTTTTGTGGAGATAGGTTGATTGGTTAGCCAGCAATTGAGAGACTGTAGAAGGTATTTTTTTAAAAAGAGTAATAGAAACTTTCAAGTCTTGGAAGAGATTTTTCTGGAAAGTGACTTCTGCTTCATGGTTTTGATGAAAAAAACAATCTGACTACTTTCTTACAGCTTGGTAGATGGTTTCTACAAGTTCAGAGGCTTTTGCTTTGTAGCTTACAGTTAGTGGCATTGATTATTGTCAGTGGTTGTTGTATGAGGCAGTGTTGACCCCCTAAACTATCTGATCTTTCAAACTCAGGAATTCATAAAGGCACCAAAAACAGAACTTGCTGGAAAAGCTCAGCAGGTCTTCAGCATCTGTGGACAGAAATGAGAGTTAATATTTAGGTTGAGTGATCCTTCCTCATTAGGGCAGTTGGGTTGAACTGAGGGTTGAGGGGGGTGGTCATGGGACCAAACCTTCTTGGAGAAGGAGACATGGTACCATTGAGACAAAGGTATTTATCACAGGTAATCAACTGTCTATGGCCCATTCCAAGTTTGCTTTATCCAGACCTGTTCTTGAAACCTTAACTGCCTTTAAGTTTACAATATTAGTGTAATGAAGAGTAAGAACAGTTTTATTATTTGGCAACTTGGGCTCTGAAATAGAGGTAAATGGGTTTTCATTTTCAATTCTGAGAATTGAATCGTTATTTATTGTCACTTACAAGAAATATACAGTGAAAAGTATTTAAATCACCATACCACGGCACATGTCTTAAATACAGAAGGCATAATAAGAAAACAAGACAATCAAGACAAAGTCCATCTTAGTTCAATTCCCAGCTCTTGGGTTCAGGAAAATGCAGCACCCCGCTGCAAGACCGCCATGTGGGGTTGCTGGAATAATGGGCTGGAAGCTGCTGCTAAAGCAGGCCATCCATGTTGGACCACTAGAATCCCTGGTTGCAAGACACCACAGAAACTAGCCCAAGGACCAATCTCGTCGCCGATGTCGTAAAAGCCATCCAAAGGATTCCTGGGCTGTTGGAGGCTGGGCTGAAACCACCTTAATGGGCGCTGCCAGCATTAACCCTTGTAGCAGTCGATGCTGGGTCCCCGTGCTCACTCCTCCACCAGGCAAGATTTGTTTGGGTTGGTAAATTGGCAGATGGAATTTATGGGTTTTTGGAGGAGTTGAGGCCATGATGGCATTTCAGCAGGAGAATAATGATATGAATTCAATTCATTGTGGAATGGGGAACTGGTGGAGATTGACAAAGATGGGACTGAGCAGGAATCAGTGATCATGTTGTCCATCACGAGAATTTTGAGTGAATCAGTTTATGGAGTAGTGTGTGGGAATGTGGTGAGTGAAACATTGGAGCAATGGTGCTGAGAGACAACCAATGCATGGTAAATTTTCAAATAGACTTCCCCATTGTTACAGCTACTTGAGATTCAGCTGTTTTTTTTTTACTTTTGAAACTGACCAGAAGCCTAATATGATTATTATATCTCCCTAAGGTTTATAGTCAGGCCTGCTGGATTCATTTATATAGTGGAAAAATGTAGTTATCTTCCAGAAATATATTTTGACCATTTTCTGACATTACATATTGTATTGAGAGTCTTTGCTTAATTATTCCCTCAATAGTTAACACTTATCTAATCACAACTAATGTGCAAAATCCCACTGAACTCTGCCAAGGCCACTCAAAACATTTTGTTTGGAAAATATCGCTGATTTCTGAAGACTTGACATGCGTTGCATAGATTTTTGACTGTGATAGTTTGATGCTTGTAATTACTGCAGGTTAGGTATTTTAATAATGGAGCTTTACTTTTCAATAGCTGTAGAACCGGAAAGGGTAACAAATTTTTTAAAGCATCATGAGCGGAAAAATTATTCCACTGACTACCATGTTTTGTGATTGTCGTAAACTATCATTCAGAATTTGTTTTCGTTGTGCCCTAAAACTTTTGTAAGACAGATTTATTTGAACACACTTCTGTGTCAATAGCTACTTACAAATCCAACACTATTTATCCTTTTAGGACAGGCTTTCTATTTGTTTATTTTAGCCAACATTATTTCTCCAACTAGTTTCTGAATGCACTAACCACATTTGTACTGAGATTTACATAGAAATCACAACTTCCTTCAATTGAAGAGATAACACAGTGTGAGCTGGAGGAACACTGCTCACAGTAGGCCAGGCCAGGCCAGCTGTGTTATCATTGACTCCAGCATCTGCAGTTCTTGCTATCTCTTCCTTAAATTGAACATTGGAAAGACCAAAGTCTTTTTATTCAGCTTTTATAATTGTTGTCATAGGCTCCATCATTCACTCAGCTGTTTGATCAAACCAATTATAATTCACTCTGAGTGAGAGAGGGTGTCAATCAGTGTCATGAGTGTGACTGATTATTCAGTTATTGGGGGAAATGAACTCAAATTAAAACAAATTCACTCTACTCATGACCCAAAATCTCCACACATGCATTATCACTCTGAAGTAATGGTGATTCCGAGATGAACCATGGCTGATTTTCTCCTTCCCAGCTCCAGATGCTGAGATTGTGATAGAATTAGAGAAAATTCAAGTAGTAGTAGATCATGTGGCCTTTCAAGCCTGATCCATCATTCAGTATGACCAGAACAGTTCATCTTACTCAGTATCTATTTCTGTTTTCTTTCCATCCCTTTTTTTTTAATCCCTTTAGCCCTAACATTTATTTCTAGCTCCTTCTTGGAAACATTCAATGCTTTAACATTAAAGGCTTTCTGTGGCAGAGAATTCCACAGGCTCACAAATCTTTTGGGTGTAGGAATCTCTCCTTCTTTCAATCCTAAATGCCCTACCCCCGTAACTTCAAACTGTGACTCTGGCTCTGTACTCCCCAGTCATCAAGAGTAACCTTCCTGCATTTACCTTGTTTTATTCCTGTTAGAATTTTAGAAGTTTTGGTGAGATGGGCGGCATGGTGGCTCGGTGGTTAATAACCTGCTTTACAGCACCAGGCACCCAGGTTTAATTCCACGTTTGGACGACTTTGTTTGTGTGGAGTTTGCACACTCTCCCTGTGTCTGCGAGGGTTTCCTCCACAATACAAAGATGTGCAGGTTAGGTGAATGGGCCATGCTACATTGCCTGTAGTGTTCAGGGGTGTGCAGGCTACGTGGGTTAGCCATGGGAAATGGACAGTTACAGGGATAAGGTAGGGGGATGAGTCCAGGTGGGATGCTGTTCTGAGGGTTGATGTGGACCCATTGGGCCAAATGGCCTGTTGCCACAATGTAGGGATTCTGAGATCCCCTTCCTTTATTTTGCCAAACCGCAGTGAATATAATCTTAACCAATCCAGTTCATATGTCAGTTCAGCAGTTTGAGGAATCAGTCTGGTAAACCATTGTTATACTCCCTTCAAAGCCAGAACATTCATCCTCAGATAAAGAGACCAAAACTGCATACAATACTCCAGGTGTGGTCTCACCAAGGGCCTGTACAATTGCAGCAAGAAGCCGTGGTCCTGTATTCTAATCCTCTTGCTATGAAGACCAACATACCATTTGTCTTCTTTACTGCCTGCTGCGTCTGCATGCTTACTTCAGTGACTGGTGTACAAGAATACCCAGGTGTCATTGCATCTTTCCTCTTCCCATATATTACCATTCAGAAAATAATATGCCTGCCACCAAAGTGAATAAGCTGACATTTATCCACATTATAATGCATCTGCCATGCATTTATGCACCCACTGAACTTGTCCAAATCACACCTGAAGAGTCTCTTATAATAACAAGGTGTAGAGCTGGATGAACACAGCAGGCCAAGCAGCGTCAGAGGAGCAGGAAAGCTGATGTTTCGGGCCTAGACCCTTCTTCAGAAATGGGGGAGGGGAAGGGGGTTCTGAGATAAATAGGGAGGGGGTGGGGAGGCGGATAGAAGATGGATAGAGGAGAAGATAGGTGGAGAGGAGACAGACAGGTCAAAGAGGCGGGGATGGAGCCAGTAAAGGTGAGTGTAGGTGGGGAGTAGATAGTAGAGTCTCTTCTTCCTCCTCACAGCTCAACCTCCTACCTAGCTTGGAGATGTTATATTTAGTTCCCTTGTCTATGTGAATAGTTGAGATCCAAGCACCGGTTACTGCGATTCCTGCTGATCTCTGGCTGCCAATCAGAAAATGACCCATTTATTCCTAGTCTTTGTTTTCTGACTGCCAAACAGGTTTCTATCCCTATCAGCGCATTGCCCCAGTCCCAGATGCTTTAGTTTTCCATGCTAATCTCATGTGGGACATTATCAAAAGCCTTCTGAGAAGCCAAATAAACCACATTCACAGGCATCCCCCTTATCAACTCAACTGGTTACATCTTTGCAAAACTCCAGCGGATTTATCGAGCATGCTTTCCCTTCCGTAAATCCAGGCTGACTCTGTCTGATCCTGCCGTTTGTTTTTCAAGTGATCTGCTATCAAATTTTTTGTAATAGACTCTAGCATTTTCCTCATTTCTGATGTCAGGCTAACCATTCTGTAATTTCTTGTTTTCTCTCTACCTCCTTTTTCAATTAATGGTATTACATTTGATACCCTTCGATCCATTGGAACTCTTCTGAGCTGAGAACACTTTACATTGCATAGTAAAGATCAACCACCTCCTTTCTGAATTTGATATTCTGCCTACTCTAATGTTTTAGGATTTCCATTGTTTTATGTTTTTAGGTACCAGGACTTGTGTTTACTCAGCTATTGTGCAATTTTATAGATGTTACATGCGGCAATTTTCATGTTTCTAGACAACCGCGATGTCTGCTCGCTGTTACCAGACCCGGGACCCTGTAAGGCCTTGATCCAACGCTTTTATTACAACAGATATACTCAGAATTGTGAGGAATTTGACTATGGTGGCTGCATTGGTAATGCAAATAACTTTGAAACGTTGAAAGAATGCACAGGGCACTGCCAAAGACTTAAAAGTAAGCTCTGTTCTTTATTTTTCTGTGTTCTGTGATGTGCACTTTTGCCTGAAGGACATGCTCATTTAGGAAAATGAGAGTGTGACAAGAAGTGTGAGAGTTCTTGCTTATCAAATCTGTGTTTTTAAAAAAGTATTTTGAATAGTTGATAACTCAAATGTTGCTTGCAAACTACTCATTAGAAGACAAAAGGAAAAAAAACTGCATTTATTCTTCTGCTGACTGAAGTTCTGTTATTATTTAGATATGTTCTTTTTTTTTTACAAGAAAGAGGACTGAATTTCCCATTTGCAGTTAGTGTGAGGGAGAGTGAGTTTCATGGTGCTGAGTCTGCCTTTGGCCAGTATACATTTTCTCAAACAATCTTCCACCTTTTGCTGCCTCCATCACGCAACCAAGGTGTTGTTTATGTTTCTCGGGGGAAACTGTGTGGCGAGCAAAGTAGAAGTACTCTCCACCGCTGAGACCTTGCGGGGTACATGCCTCCAACACCATGCTGAAATCCCAGCTACACAGCAAGCCAGCAACTGGCCCTCACACTGTGGTGTTCAACAGAGAAAATGTCAGGGAAGATGGGCAGGCCACCACCCTGACTACCAGCAGCTCCAGATCCCTGTCCTGAAGTGAAGTTCAGAGCAGTACTTTTATCCTGTTGATAGCCCAGGAAGGTCACACCACTAAACCCAGCCAGCCTGGACAGAAATTTATAACTTGGATCAGTTTTGTGTTCAAAATCAGATGCCCAGAAATGCAGCAAGGTCAATGTTCTTGTGCACTCAAGGTCCACTATCTTCGCTCTGCTACCTCCCCCTCACCTGGCCAGTGCTCAGTCTGACTCTTCTGCTGCATGTGCATCTTACCAGGGCTCATGGAATACACCTTTCAGTATTGAATGCATCATATCCGCTCAACAGCTCTTACCACCTCAGCCAATGATGGCTACATCCCTTGAGCAGAAGAAAAATAATCCTTCCAAATTATGGATCCTTCTGCACTTCCTATCCTCTCCATGGGACTATTTCACCACATGAATCATCGCTAACTGCTCTTGCATCTGTTTCCATTATAGCCAACCCCTCCCTTTTTCTTTCCACAATGCAAGGAAAAACTCTTCCCATAACTGGACTAAATAGTCCAAGCCTGGTAGGATCCATTTCCTCATATCAGAGGAACACTTGGTGTCTGGTGGAATTGCCCATGGGCCTCTCTGTGCCTGTAATCCCAAAGTCAGCAGCAGTGGAAGCCCAAGATTGGTGAACCTTCAGGAAACTCTCAGCAAGTTACAACCCTGAACGTTCAAAGGCAGCAGAGAACACTGCCTGTGGTTTTCAAGCAAACTAGACCAGCTCCGGAGCTGGTTTTTCCACCACAGCTACAGAAATTAGGCCTGCAGTTGGGTATCGTGGGAGGGAGACAAATAAGAAACCATACTGAGTGTATGGGTGATACATGGCTATAAATAACCTATTACTTTCTGTTAATTGTTTTATTCATTTGTGGAATGAGGGTGTCGCTAGGCCAGCATTTATTCCCATCCCTAATTGCCCAGAGGACAGTTAATTCAGTCACATTGCCGTAGGCCAGACCGAGTAAGGATGGCAGTTTCTTTCTCTAAAGGACATTAGTGAACCAAAAAGGTTCTTCCAACAATTGACAATGGATTCATGGTCATCGTTAGACTCTGAATTCCATATTTTTGTTGAATTCAAATTCTACCATCTGCTTGTGGTGGGATTCAAACCCAGGTCCCCTGGACATTACATTGGTCTCTGGATTAACAGTCCAGTGATAATACCACTAGGCCATCTCCTCCCCTAAAATGTATTTTGACTTGCACTGCTAAATAAGTAGCAGACACTTTTCTGCTGTCTGATTTGGTTAAGTTGCACCCACGTGACCGATGCACTTCACTTCAGTTGGAGTCCTTGAACCATCAATTTGAGTGCTGCACTTCGTGTTTAGCTTCGTCATTACCCAGATTTAATGTGCAGGGAATATGTTAGGGCCTGGCTTACACATCATTTCACACTTGTGCACCTTTTGAATGAGAGTACAGAATTTGATGATTCAACATGACCCTGCAGGGAAAGGTTAATTTTAACTTTAAACTTTTCAAGGGATGGCACTGCCTTTCAAGGTTGGGAGATGTGAACTGCTCATGTACATGTCCACTTTGTCTCAGTATAATGGTCTGTCAAGCAAAGGTGCAAAATGTGCTATGTCTCACAGGTTCAATATTCTCCCAAAGGATGCTGAAGCATTGCAGAGCAATCTAACTGTTTATGCACACTCAGAAATATTGAACATTTACTAATGACATCGTGACATAGAAAACAAAACACATAACCATGACTGGTATTTCATTAACACTCTGAAGTTCTGACAGTTATTTAAATGAAGAATCAATATTTATTCAATGGATCAGCAGATAACTGACAAACAACACTAGGTAGTCAAGATATTTCTTGCTTTGGGCACTGAAAGGCCAAACAAGCTAAAATCATCTAGTTTTCCTGACAATGATTATAAAGGTCCTGACACAATTTTTTTTCAGATCTAAGAACAATTTAAAGTTTGAGTCTATTTCAGGATACACAGACTTGAGTTCCTGTCATACTGCCAATAATCAGGTGATAACATCAATCAATTTGAAGATGTATGGGATTTGATTTCGCCTAAGCCAATTTAACTGATAGGATTACAGATCTGGTCATTGCTTCTTCACCTCAAATCCTTCTGCAAAGTACTCCTGGACAATCCTAAGGAATATATCATTGCTGTTCCACTGGGGGGGAAAAAAAAACATGAGTTTGAAGCAATTGCAGCAGGCCAACAGCATCTGTAGTGCTTGACTTTGGATGACCTATTGTGCTGTCGGCAGGTTCAGTGGAACATGCAAGGTATCAAAGTCTCTTAAGAGGCATAGCTTTTCTCACCCCTGAGACAGTGTCCAGTATTTTGTGATTTATATGTTCCATAACTTGACATCAGGCTAAAATGTGTAAGGAATCCAATCTGCCAGAGAAACCCAAAGTGCAACGCAACGCACTACCCCACAATAACAGGTGAAGAGAAGTCAATGAAGAAACAAAGTTCCATTTATGACACAAATATGTCAACAAAGGCAAAGTGGGAACTGCAGCAACACCGCTTACAGACCCCAGGCAAACAACACCTGTAGTAAACTTAACATATCACATGGAAATTGCCAGAAAAGCTGAAGCCTTTACCTCTATCCCAGTGATCTATCCAAAAAGAAAGGAACAATATACATTGCAAGCCCAATTCAACACGGCTGGCAGAGCAAATTTCATTCCTTTCTGCATAAGATGCATAAATGAACTAGCACAGTGTTGTACAGTCTGCGCAAAATAAGCCAATGGTTTACAATTGATCCTAAATCCCATACTTCAGCATTATCTGTTTTACATACCAGTATGGATCCTTGGAATGGACACCTGAAATCTTTGACAAAATTGAAACAGATGGAGCAGCTATTATCAGTCTACCATCATGTACAGACTTCCACTTGATTACAATTCATACGTGACAAGCCTATCAATTTTAACAGCAAAGATTCCAGACTGCAGTAGCAATCTTGTATGTTTTGGTCACAACCGAGCTTTTGCAGATTCAGCTCCTTCAGAAAAGGACCAACAGCAACAGCTCTAAAAGATTATTATCATGAAATGTCCAAAATATATCCAAGAGGTCCCTGAGCAAATGTATTTGTTCTACTTATTGAGACTAATTTGGACTCTCAAAGAACGTGATCTTCAAGTCATAATTGTGCGAGCTCCATGTCAAAACATGTGAGACTGCATAGATCACATGAGCACAGAACAAACACCAAGCGGTTGACACATGAACCCAGACATTGGCCTGGCATTAACAAGAATGCTGAACAATTGATCTGGTTATGTGAAACATGTCAGTCCATTAATCTCAATAATTGAGAGAATATGCCCTTCCACATGAGATCAGTGAGCCAGGGTGCAAGGTTGCAACTGATATATAATTGCAGGCTGGTGATCGACTATTTCACCAAATTCCCTTTTGTGTGATTAAAACAAAAGATTTGTGTAGGACTAATGCAGCAATCACTGACTGACTGACTGAGAGATAGTAGGAACTGCAGATGCTGGAGAATCCGAGACAACAAGGTGCAGGGCTAGATGAATACAGCAGGCCAAGCAGCATCATAGGAGCAGAGAGGCTGACGTTTCGGGCCTAGACCCTTCATCAGAAAAGGGGGAGGGGAAGGGGGTTCCGAAATAAATAGGGAGAGAGTGGGAGGCGGATAGAAGAGGGATAGAGGAGAGGATAGGTGGAGAGGAAACAAACAGGTCGAAGAGGCGGGGATGGAGCCAGTAAAGGTGAGTGTAGGT